GCCCCCGGGCCTGCCTTGGGGCGGCGGGGGCCGCTGCCGGGCCTCGTGAAAGCCCCGGCCAACGCGGGCAGCCCGCCCGGCCCCGGCGGCCGCCTCGCGGCCCCCGAAGCGCTGCGCGGCCACAGCGAGGCGCCCCGCGGCCAAGGAGGCCGTGCCGGGCACTCCCGCGCCGCCCGCGAACAGCCCGGCGCGCAGAGGGGGCCTGCTGGCGAGGGGGCGGGGGGCGAGGCGCATCCCAGGCGCCCGGGAAAGGGCCAGGATCGCGGGCAGGGCATCCCGCCGAGCGCTCCCGAGGACGCTTCGGGGCAGCGGTTTCGGCGGGGCTCGCGTGCGAAGGCGCCCTCCGGGGGCCCGCGGGTGGGCTCCCTCCGGGGGCTGCCTCTCCCCAGGCTCAGCCGCGCATCTCCAAGGCAGGCGGGAGAGCGGAGGCCCGAGCGGGGGCCGCCGGGAGACGAAGGGCCGGTCTGCCGTTCACTGCTGGAACCGCATCACATCCTTCAGCAGCGAGATGCCAAAGCTCAGTCATTAAAGCCTTTGAAAACAAGAGGCGTGTGCGTGGCGTGGACGTTTCCTGCCCTGGGGCCGGGCCGGGCCGGGCCGGGGCCGGCAGCAGGGGTGCCAGGCCCTCTCCCGAATCCCCGAGAGGCTCGCCCGCCGCCTCCCCGCGCCTGGGGGGCTCCTGAGCCCCCGCACTTCTGCACGCCCTCCGGCCTTCCTCATGCGAAGAATGCTCCGCAGCGCCTGCCAGATGGCCCCGTCTCTGTCTCCGCATGCAGCCAGCGTCCTGCTAGAGTCAAGGGCTGCTTTCTTCGGGCCCACATGTTGTTTGGAGTGGCCCGGCTACAAGCCGCCGCCTTCCGCATGCCCAACCAGTGTCCCCCCAGCCCAGCCCTCCCAAACTGGCGCCCTTCAGGTGTCCTGGACCTTGGCCCCTGCCACGGCCCCAGCCAGGAACAGTGGGAGCCGCGGCCCAGGAGCCCAGAGCGGGCGAGGCTGGGAACGCCGCCCGGCCCTCCCTCCTCCCACTGGGCCACCGCCAGAACTGGCCGCCCCGGAGTGCCGGGCTGCTGCCGAGCAGAGCAGGGGCACGGACCCCGGGTGGCACCCCCTGGACGTGCGGCGGGGCAGTGGCGCGCTCTGGCTGCGCCCCGTTTGAGGCTCCAGCTGGCCCGCCCTCGCCCCGCGGTCTGGCCCCGCGGCCGCCGCCTGAGCTGAGCGCGCAGCAGTTGGCCTGGCACGGCGTGTGCCCTGCAGCCGCAGGGCCCAGAGCAAGGAGGACGGCGGGACGGGCACAGCAACGAAGCCGGCTCCTGGAGTCCAGTCCTCTGTCCGGCCCAAGCGTGTATGCGGACATGCAGCCCCCCCCACACTCACGCACAGTGGGTTCCACGTGTGTCCTCGGGGCTGCCCAGCTGCACGGAAGAGGCGCAAGATTCCCACAAGGCTGCCCGCTGCCCACAGGGCCCTGCCCCCAGCTAACGGGGCCCGTGGCGGGACGGCTGCCTCCGGCACGTGTCGCTGTCCCAAGGGCCGCGCTCCGGCTCCGTGGAGCGGCCAGGGCCCGGCAGCAGCCCCCGGCACCCGCGCGCCCGCCACGCACGCTGAGCTCCCGCTGCAGTCTCTGCAGAGCGCGGCTGCCGACGAGTCCGAAGCCGGAGGCCTGCCGCATCCCGCTGGCCTTCAGTCCGGGCGTGGAAGAGCCCCAGTGCAGGGGTCAGTCCGTACGGGGCCCGGGGCCACGCGCCTCCCCAAACGGTCCCTGTTGGCGAGCGACTTCCTCAAGAGAGCCCTTCTGGGGAGGGGCTGGGGGTGCGGGTGCCCTCGGAGTGTCCTTCAATGAGTTTGCAGGCGGCGGCGGCTGGCAAGGTCAGTGGGGGGCGCACCTCCTCCGGGGGGCGCCCTGCCAGAGTGGGACGGGACCTCTCTACAAGACCTGGGCTTCTGTGGGAGGCGAAAGAGAGATCGTGAGGAGCGGGCGGAGGAAGCCCCTTCTCTGGAGCAGCCTTCCCGAACTGGGGCCCTCCAGGGGTGCTGGGCTGCAATTCCCAGCAGCCTCCGCCGGCTGACCGGGGATGCTGGGAGCAGCGATCCAACATGCTTGGGCGGTGCCGGGTGGGTGAAGGCTCCCCAGCGGTGGAGCTAGCCCAGCGCTTCGCCTCGGCGGCTGCCCTGAAAGGTCTCCTGGCTGGCATGGGGCGGGGGGCGGTGCTCCAGCTCCGAACAGGGGGAGGGAAGCCCGGCAGCAGGCGGAGGAAGGGGGACAGCGACTTGTGGCTGCAACGGCCCGGCAGGGCTGCGGTGTCATCGGTTTCCCTGGCCTGCGGGCTGCCACACACCAGGCCGAAGCGGGCTTCACGCCGCAGCAGCCGATGCCACGGGGAGCCAGCCAGCTTGCCAGGCCTCGTGGGACGGCAGCCTCGCGCCTGGGAAGCCCTTCGGACGGATCCCCACAGCTGCTGCAAGTGCCACGACCGCACAGCAGGTGGCGCTGGGGCAGCCTGCCCAGGCACTGGGGACCCCCGGCAGAAGCCCCTGGAGTCTCCCCCTCTCTGCTGCCGCGGCTTGGCTGCATCTCACTGGCGTCAGCCGTGGTGCTGGGGAGGTCGCTGGGGGGTGTCGGAAGCCGATGAGGGCAAAACCGGTGGAGGAAACCCTGGGGGGTTCCCTCTCTGGCCCAGCACCCTCGGGGTAAACAGGCCAGAACAGAACGGCGCCTCCTCTCAGTGCCGGAGGTCAAAGCAGCGCCGCCCCGGCCCCCGCCAGTCCCGGCCGAACTCACTGGGCAAGGCCTTAATGTGGATGGCAGCTGCGAGCAGGTCCCGGTTTTTCGTGGCCTCCTTGCTGTGCTTCTTCACCCGGATCCTGCAAAGGAGGGGGGCGCGTGAGAGTGGGAGGAGCCCATGCAGAGGCTCTGGGGCTTTGCTGGGGGGGGGCGGGGGGGCAGTGACGGGAAGGCTGCTTTCCTGGCCGCGCCCGGCCGTTCCTGCCTCCGTCTCCACATTTATCAGGGGACTCTGCTCCTGCAGGGGGGCCTCCCCCGGCCTGCATGGGATTCTCATGCTGGGACCTGGGAAGTGGGCTGACCCCGAACCCGACTGGGGGTTCTTCTGGTTTCCTTTTTGGTGCTACAACCTCTCTGAGCTTCCGGAGAGGGGCCCCTTGCAGGCCCACCTGGAGACAGATGCACATGTGTCGGTTTCTGTTTCTCACCATTTCTCGTGTTTCCAGAACTAAGTTCAGCTCGCCCCAAGCTTTAAGGTTTTATTTCTAGCCTCTGCATGAGAGTCCACAAGCATTTTTCAATGCAGCATTTTTCTATGTGGTCGTTCCTGACTATAATGCGTATTTTGCACCTTATTTTCTTTCTCATGCACATTGAAATGCATTTTGATGGCAGAACTCTGTGGCGAAATTTGGAGAACTCAGGGGTGGGGATGTGGGGCTTGAGGCTGAGGGTCCCCAAACTGTGGCATGGATCACACCCCATCATAGCCTCTTCAAGGTCCCTCCCCACAGCTCACGCGGAGGGGCTGGTGGACCTACCACATCAGAAAGGCGAAGGCCAGGATCACGGCCAGGACGAAGAACGCAAACACGCCGAGCGACACCAGCACCGCCACCTTCTCCGAGGGGTCGCTTTGCCCTGCTGGAAGGAGAGGGAAATCCAGCACTTGGGTCTCTCCAGCAGCTTCTGCACAGGCAGAGGGTGCCGGGGGGCATGCCCCTCGCCCTTGGGCGGCGCCTGCACATGCCCTACGTACCCACGGGCTCGTTCTCGGGGGCCAGGGAGGGGTCCTCAGCCGGGCCTTCTGGCTCCGGCACGGCAGTGGCCATGTCACTGGGCGCCACCGTCTGTCCTGTGGAAAGAGGAGAGCAAGCTTTGGGCAGCCCAAGGGGGCGGGAGAGGCCGCGCCGCGCGTGAGGGCAGCCCCGGCGCCTGGGCACGGTCGCAGGCCGCTCGCTCCTGGCCGTGGCAGTGCAGGCCTCGGAGAGGCGAGACGGGGCTGTCGGGCCGCCGAATTGGGCCCGGGGGCGGGGGGAGGTCCGTTCCACCGAAACGCTCGAGGTCGGCAGCCGCGGGCAGCTCACGAGCCGATGCCCCTGGAGAAGGGCCCCGCGCCCCACGCCTGGCCAGAGCAGCGCCCCCGAGGGGCCGCTCCGGCTCCCCCTGCCCACAGGGCGGCCGCCCCCCAGCCCCCGCTTACCCGGAGCAGGCATGCCCCACGCCTCCGCGCTCCACTCGCTCCAGCTCCCGGCGTCCAGGAAGTCCTTTGCGCTGACCTGGACCACGTGCTCCACGCCCATGAAGGCGTCCGTGATCACCTCGGACACGTTGGCCGTCTCCACCTGCCGATCCGGGCAGCGGCGTCAGCGGCGGCCCGAGGCCGGCGCCCCTTCCCCTCCTGGCCCCGCCTCCGGAGGCGGAGCGAGCCGGGCCCATCGCCCGCCCGGGGGCCCCAAGGCGGGACCGGGATGGTTGCGATGGCCACAATCGCCCACCAGGCGGACTCGGACCGGCAGGGGTGACCCGCCCCCGGCACCCTCGACTCACCACAGACCACGAGCTGCCCACGGCGGGCCGGTACTGCAGCCGGAACTTGAGCTGGAAGTGCGGCTCCTTCGGCCACGTGGAGGGGTAGTCCCAGCTGACCCGCAGCCGCCGGGGGGCCAGCGGCACGGGCTCCACCCGCAAGCCCTCTGGCGGGTCCGGCTTGACTGGGGAGGACAGAGGAGGCGGAGGTGGGGGGAGCCGGGAACCCCGGGAGGTTCCTTCCTCCGCTCCGAACCAGCGAGGGCACGTCTGCCCTCCAGCGAGCATGCGACCCGGCTCGCTGCAGCCCTGCCCTGCCCTGCCCTGCTGGTTTGCTGTTGTTTTTAATAGGAATTACAACTGTGACACAAACACTTATAAAAGGAAAGACTGCCCGCCCTTTTTAAAAAAAGAGGGCTTCTTCCCATCTCTCTTGCACAAAGAGGCAGAGAAAACCATCCAGGAAAAGGAAAATACATGACGTTTGCTCATTTATTAAAGCTATGGCTGCAGTTGTTTTGTGTCTTTGTTAACTGCTGGCTGTAGGCAGAGTTGTGTGTCCGAGAAAGAACTGTGGGGTAAAAATGTAGGCCTGGTTGTGGGGAGACGCCTGAAGGCAGCTGCACAGGAACCCCAAAAGCCGTCCAGAGGGTGAATGGGTTTCGGGGGGGGGGTCCTTTCACCCCAGCCAGCCGAGCTAGAGCAGCAACATAAAACAGCAAGGAATGCTGGAAAATAGGCAAAATGAAAGACATTGTGCAGAAGACAAGAAAAGAAGACTTCTTGCTAGGGGAGCGATTTCTGCGTGTGTGTGTGGGGGGTCACCCCGCTCAGCACAGGCCTGCAGTGTTTTCGAGACCCGCCCGGGGTCAGCGAGGTCGGAGGCAGAGCACAACACACAAGGAAAACCTGCGTCCCAGAATTGCCCCCCCCCCACCTGGGGCAGTGGAGCCGAGCCCTCGGGGGTCGCAGGGAGAGGGCCAAGCCAGGCAGAGGCGGTGGCGGCAGGAGCCGGCCCAGCCGGGCTCTGACCTCCATCGGCAGGTGTGGCGGGGGGCTCCAGCCGAGGGGCGAAGGGCTGCAGTGGGCCGGAGCCAGCCTGCTCCCCCCTCCCGAAAGGCGGCACTTACTGATGGCCTGCACGGTGACGTCGAGCAGCCGGAAGCTGGAGCCCAGCGGGTTCACCTCTGTCACGTTCATGCGGTACGAGGTCCAGAACTGGGACTTGCTGACCGTGCAGGAGAGGGGGTGGGCCGGATCCTGAACGCAGAGCCCCACGTCGCTGGAGGGGGACCTGCCCATGCACAAGGCGGGGTGGACGAGTCTCGCACACGGGCGCTCTGCTGAGAAGGCACGTCTCCTTCCCGACCCACCCGCGGGGAGGATGAGCGCCAGCGAGCGGCAGGGCGACCTTCGCTAGGGCCGCGAGGGGGCTCTGGAAGCAGGTGGCACCATGCGAAGGACCCGGTGGCCCAGGCGTGAGGGGCCGGGAGACCTCGCACAGGCGAGCCGGGCCGGGAGCCGGTTCAGCTCTGCTCCAGGCCAGGAGAAAGTTCCCCTGCCTTCTGGCTCCATGGCACTTCCAGACCAGGCCTGCCAGATGCTTGTGAGGCACCGCAGGCATGGGGCTGGTGGGGCTGGGCAGGGCCGAGCACCCTGGGGTCCCCTGCCCCTGGCTCAGCACCAGCACCGCCGTCCTCGCAGAGAGTGCTGCCTCCCTCACTCCACGGAAAGGGAACGTGGCGGAGCCGGCTTCCCACCGTGGAGGGAACAGGCCCGAGGGATGGGGGCAGGTGAGTGCAGGAAGGGGCCCCCCAGCCCTCCCCAGCCCCCTGCAGGACACACGGTGCTCCTCCACGGGGCCCGGCTCCCCGTGGAGCGAGGCAAAAGGGCTGGCACGGCCGGCCTCCAGGCAATGAGAAAGAGGGGTACGGGGGCCCCCTTGGCCTGAAACTGGCACCATCACTCCCCCACGCCGGCCCCCCCTTTTGGAGAAAGGCTCCCACAGCCTCCCAGAGCCTCTTCCAGAAAGGCGATCCGTGGCACAGGAGAAGTCACCGTCACGCGACCCATCGCTTGCCAACACGCCCCAAGAGAGGGAGAGGACAGCGCGAAAGGGAGCAGTCCTTGGTCTGCAGAGGGGCCACGGGGGCCGCGAGGGGGCGTGTCCTCTGTGCGTGAGCAGCATGACTCTGTCAGGGCCGTGACCCCCCCCCCGGCATTTGCACCCCGAAGCCAAGGCCGCGTCAGCAGGACGGGGCGTGTCTGCCAAGAGGGTAGAGGGTCTGGCTGCCGCCTCACCTTCGCTGCTCGCTTCCAGGCAGCTGCTTCTTCCTGGGGGAGGAGAGGAGAGGAGAGGAGAGGAGAGGAGAGGAGAGGAGAGGAGACCGCTGAGCATCCTGGCCCGTGCTGCTCCAGCCTGTGTGTGCGGGGCTGTGCCTCCCCCATCCCCAAGCGGGTGTGTTGCCAAAGCAGAGATCATGCAACCGCCCAGCTTGGGCCCGGATCCTTTGCAGGCGTCGGTGCCCACATAGGCCAGGCGCCCCCGCCTATGGGCTCTGCGCCCGCTCACTGAGTTCTGATGTGGGTTTTTGCCGGCTCTCGCAGCCACATGGCTCCCGGGGCAGGTTACTCCTTGCCGGCCGTCGTGCAGGCCAATTTCACAAGGGCCACCTGGCCACCCGAAGGGCTGGGCCACTGGCACACGGCCGGAGGCCGAGCCCAAGGCGGGCCGCAGCGCTGTGGCGCTTCAGACGCGGCTGCCAGCGGGTCCTGGCCGATGAGGAGCAGGGAAGGAGCGCCAGAGGAGGAGCAGGGCTTCCCTTCTGCACAGGATCCCTCTCTGCCAGGGCCGGCGAGCCCAGTCAGCTGAGGGAAGGCGGGGCGGAAACCTGGGTGATACGTTTTGGGACGCTCTTCCTTCCAGGGGCCATGACTCACGGCGAGCGTTTGGGAAGAGCGCGGCTGCCGGTGCCTTCAGTGCGCACGAGAACATCCCGGCAGAAGAATGCCGGATGCGGGGGGGCACAAGGCCCGGAGCGAGGCCAGGACTCTTCCGTCAGAGCCCCCTCCTGTTCCTTTGTCCCAGCCCTCCCTGGGGCTTTGACAGCCGGTGTCAACCAAGAGGGCCTGTGCAGGAGAGGCGAGCAGGCGCGAGCCGCCCAGGTCCCGCACCACCTGGAAAGCGCAACAGGGGGGTCCAGGCAGGGAGCCCGCTGCAGCCCGAGAGGCGTTGGGGGAGGAGGCCAAGGGGCAAAGCTGCCCCGGCATCCACTTCCGCCCGGGGACGGGCCTGGCAGCAAGCGGGGTGGCCGAGCCCCGGTCACCTGCCGCCCGGCCACGAACGCTGCGGCAAGCCAGGCCCGCTCTTCCCAGAACCCAGCTGTGCCAAGCCAGCGGCTGGCTCGGGGAGGCAGGGCCGTCGCTGCCCGTCCCGCCACCTGGCACCCCCTGTGCACCCGGCGGGAAGAGCCGCGTGAGCACAGGGGAGGGCTGCGCGCGCATGTGGAAGGGAGACGTCGGCCCACGTGGGGGGGTCCTGGCTGGAGTCCAGCCCGCTAAGCGTGTGGGGTGGGGAGCTCGGAGGCAGCCCCCTCCCGGACCCGGCTCTTGGCTGGCCGGCACCTTTCCGGGCCCTGCCCGAGGTCCCTGGGAATGGCTCCTGGGGCACTCTGCATGCAGACCGGGGCTCAGTCACCGTCCTCGGCCCAGGGAGAGGCCGCTTGGCACGGACGGCGGGGGACCGGGAGGAGGAGGGGCTGGCGCAGGGTCCTGGCCAGCCCCCACGCTCCTGTCTTCCGTGGCGCCCCAGCGCGCCCCCAGAGCCACACCTGTAGGTGGTGATGTACTTGGTGGGGAGACGCGTCTCCAGGCTGGGGGCCCAGAAGCAGGAGAAGTTTTCGTAGTTGGATGCTCGGCAAGAGACGGACGGCAGCCCTGGGACACCTGCAGGGAAGAAAGGCACGGTCTGCCCGCTCTGCTCTGGAGGAGGCCAGCTTCCCCCTCGGCTGCCCTGCAATGCCCCTCCAAAAGCCCGTGCCCCCCACCCCAGAGGGCCTTTGCCCCGGCGCAGACCCTCACTTACGGCCAAGCCGGAGGGCCACGGAGCTGAGCAGGCGCCCGCTGGCGTCGTGGCAGCTGTAGGTGCCCTCGGCGGAGAGCTCAGCACGGGGCAGCAGCAGCTGGTCTCGCTGGGCCTCGGCGTCTGCCGGGAGCACCGGGGCGCCGTTCCATCGCCATTCCACGGAGGAGCTGAAAGCCGGAGAGCAGCGGTGAGGACAGGGCCGGGCAGCGTCCACCAGCCCTCTCGCGCTGCCGACCGCAGCTCCCATCATCCCCAGCCAGCACGATGGAGGGAGTCATGGTGCAGCAGGTCCGCAGGGTGCCAAGCTGCAGAAGGCCCAGGCTGCGGGCCAAGCAAGGCTTGATGGGGGGGGGCAGCCAAACCGAGCGGCGCTGCTCCCCGGCGGAGCCCGGCCGGGCTGGGACCTTCCGCAACGGCCGCCGGAGCCCCTCCGGTTCTGGAGCAGGCGAAGAACTTCCTCTTTTCCCAGGAATTTTCCTCTTTAAGCTCCCAAAGTGCTAAATCTGTCCCTGCATTTTAACTCCCTGCCGAGTTTACCCTGGTTTTTACTTCTATTTTATCATGTCGTTTAATCTCTAAGAGTTATCTTATGTTGCATTTTATGGTTTCAGTTACTGTGAACTGCCCAGGATGGTTTAACTATTGGGGGGCGGGGGTAGAGAAACAGAAAAAAATGAATACATTCATAAATAAATAAAGGATGTTAATCCCGAATTTTAAAGAAAAGGCTCTCAAGGCTGCCATTTTCCTTTTGGTTCCTTTCAGTGCCATTCTGTGGACTGGGACCCGCAGCAATCCTGGCTTATAACCAGCCCCCCCGCCCCCCCCCGCTCAGGTCTCTTGAGGCGATGCGTCTCTGGGCAGCCCCCCAGGCACTTTCCTCTCGAGGCAGAACAGATTTATGTATTTACTTATTTTTTAAAGATCTTTATATGCCGTCCTGTCGCAAAAGCCTCAGGACGGCTTACATAGATGAGCAGCAGATGGGATCACTTTTTGGAAAAGCGAGCTGAGGGCCGCGCATTTGCCGGTGCACCAGAGCTGGGATGCCGGGGCGGGGGGGGGGGGGCAACGACTGCCACGGTGAAGCCCTTCTCCAAATTTAGGAGCCGACGCTAGGGGTGGGCTGATCTTAAGGAGGGGCAGAAGAAAAGGAACGCAAGCAGAGGTTTTGGCTTTGGTATGGGTGGCTGCTGGGCCCGGGGCCCATGCATTCCTTCCAGCACCTCAGCCAGGTGGGGGGGGGGGGCAGGAGCAAGAGGCCTGGCTCTTTGCTTGAGATGCCCAACCGGCAAATGCCCCCAAGGCATGTAAAGCCCCACCAAGCAGAGCCCCCACCTCATCCCCAGGCCCACAAATGCACCAAGCAGACCACCAAGGCCATACGATGGCGTGTGCCAGGAACAGCCTGCAGCCTCCTGCCCTCCTGCGCTGGCTGCGGCCCGCGGGGGGCCGTGGGTTGGCCACTCTGAGGATGAGGATGTGGGGGGGACGAGCCCCTGGTGGAGGCTGGGAAGCCCTGGCTGGGAAGCTCAAAACCTGTTCCTTATCCGCCCTCTCAGTCTCTGAGGAGGATGCCTGGTGACAGCAGGGAAACGGGGGGCGGGCAGGGCTGATTATGGGGTGCGCAAGGATCAGCAGCGGTGCACACGTGTGGCTCAGCACAGGCACCCTTCTGGCAGACGCGCTCCGCGGCCGCCCCACCTCTCCCAGCGCGGGCTCCGCACGCTCCCCTGCCCCGAACCAGGGCCGTGGCCTCGGCGCCTACCCGGGGCTCGCTCCGGCACACTCCAGCGCCACGTCTTTTCCCAGCTGGCCGTACGTCACCCCTGCAAGAGAGGGCCATGAAGGTGAGGCTCGGGTCGGACGCCGCTTGCGCACCCCCAGCCTGCAGAATGTTCTTGGGGGGGGGGGGCGAGTCCTGCAACGTGGCTTTCCTGGGCTCGGGGCTGTCGCACACGCGACGCTGTCCCAAAGCACTCACTGCCGCACCTCCAGCTCGTGCGTGTGCGCAGCGAGAGGGAGGCACAGCGGGGGCCGAGCGGGCCGCCCCCCCCCCCCCCGGCCGAGCCACGTCTCCAACGCCCAGCAGTATCTGCGTGCGCGCCAGACAGCCGAGCTCTGCCCCTTCCCCATGGCAGGGCGCTTGCTGGTGGGGGGGGGGTCCCATGCTCAGGGCCCCCATCTCTCCTTGTGGGGCTGGTTGCTTGGCCCGGGGAGCTGCAGCCAGGCAGAGGAGAGCCTGCCGGGGCAAGCCCTGGCCAGGCACCCAGCGGGCACATCTGGGGCCGGGGATGCCCGCAGCGCCCCGTGAGCCGAGGAGGAGGGCCTGCCGCAGGGCGCCCTTGCCCCACGCGGCCCTCGAGCACCTCCACCCAGGGGGAGCCCGGGGACGGGCGTGGAGGCGCCCTCGGCCCGTGCGGCAGAAGCCAGAGCAGGGCCCGGCGGAGCGCTGGCCTGGCCCCCACCCAGCTGCCAGTCCCGGGGGCGTGTGCCCCGCGTGAGATGACGTCCTGCCCCCTGCCCTGCCCTTGGGGCGGCCCCCGCGAGGCCCCCCGCCCACGGCGCTCGCAGCCCCCGGCTCACCTTCTTCGCCCCATCCTCCTGACATGGTGATGGCGGAGCTGAGCAGGACAGCCGCCAAGAGGAGCACAGCTCTGCCGGCACGGGAGGCGAGGCTCAGCATCTGGGGGCCAGAGGAGTGGAGGGGGGGGGGATCAACAAGTGTTGGGACGAGGGGCCCACAGCGACAGCGGAAGAAGCCCATGGCCAGGAGCCCCCCATCCCCTTCCTCCCCGGAGCCTGGCGCCCAGAGCCTGCCCCGTCCCCACCACGGCCCCTCCTCTCCGGCCTGCCTCTCCTGCCACACTCTGGGGGGGGGGGGCAAGGAAAACCCCCAGCTCCTATGGCTGACCCCGCTGGGCCGGGGGCAGGTGGGGGACATGCCTTGGCCTGGCCCACTCTGGAGGCGCCGTCCCGGCTTGCAGGGACAGGCCGGGGGACCTGCACTCGCTCAGGCCACACCGGATCTGTTCATGGAAAAATCAGAGCACCGATCCCTGCGAGCAAATATTGGCACAGGCAGAAATCAGAGGCAAGAAAGGAAGGAGCTGACCCGCCGGCCGGCGACACTCGGGGCTGCTCTTGGGCGTCTCCTGCTGGGACCCGGCCACCGACAGCAGCCCCCGGGCTGGCCCACGCACACCCCAGGCCCGCTGGTGTGGGAGGGGGCCCGCAATCCCCTCCCCTGGAAACCCCTGCAGCAAATGGGGCTTTCAATTCCCCATTTGCTCGTTTATTTAATCAACCTCTTCTGCCAGGCCTGCAACTATCACAGCACTTTAGAAAAGTTAGCAAATAAATTCAAAACTGCACGATAATGCCGGCACGTTTAATCCTGCCGCATGGCACACGGCGTCCTGCAGAAGGGCAGGTGGTCCGGAAATACAAAGGACCAACGGGCAGTTCTTTTAAGGGGGCAGAACAAAAATACTAACGGAAACAAACTGCCCAGAGAGCTGCAGCCACAGGCAGGCAGTGAAGAAACGCGATGGTCGCGGTGGCGGCGACGCTCGGAAGACTCAAGAGTCAGTCAGAAAGGAAGCCGGGCTGGCTGAGACGCTGTGCACCGAACATGCAGGTTCGAAGAAGGCGGGTATCAGTGGCTTGGGGTGCAAGAAGATCTCACCAAAACCTCGCTGTTAACAGGCAGCGCAACTCTGAACAGGCCCCTGCCCAGCCCAAAAGGCACACGACTGCTCGAGGCAAGGGCTGAAGCCAAACCGGGAACTTCCCCAGTCCCTCCGTTCCGGGGCTGCTCAGGGTGGCTCTCACTGGTGGGGCGCACACAAGCCCTCCTCTCTCCCAGTGCCTCATGCCCGGGCCAAGGACCAGGCCCTGCTCCCGGGCCCCCTCCTCTCCCAAAGCCCCTGCCGCCTCTTCCAGACCCGTTGGCTGGGGAGCGTCAGGAAGGGAGCTTGGTGACGCTCTTCACCGCTCCTCTCCAGGATCCGACCGAAAATCAGCAACAAGCGAGTGCCCAGCCCGCTCGTTGCAGCTGCCAGGGGCTCGTCCTCAGAGGGCCCACTCAACAAACGCCGGGCTTTGCCCACGGGGGGTGAAGGGAGGGGGCTCCACACGGGGTCTTGGGCTGGCTGAGCAGAGGCGCTCGCGGGCAGGGGCTTCCGCTGCGGCTGCGGCACCGCTCCGGAGAGCAGCAGCCCCTGCCGGCCTTCCACTGCCGGGCCTGCCGGGGACCCCGTGCTGGGGGAAGGCACCCGGGGGCAGTGGCGCGTGAGGGGCAGGCGTGGGGGGTGGGCCCTCCCGTCTTTCCCCAGGCAACCTGCCCCCTCCTGCATGCTCACGCTCGGCTGATGCTTGCTGGTCCCCACTTCGCTCTCTGTGGGAGAGCCAGCCCCCCACTTCAGGGCGAGTGAACCCCAAGGCCACCTGTGCTGTGGAGCTCAGTGGCCGACTGCTGCCTCTTCCATCGGCCCGGCCCAGCCCTGACGGTCCTGGGCTAGCACTGGCCCATGTTGGCGCCACAGGGGCAGTGGCCGGCCAAGGGCCAAGGGGCCCTCCCTTGCTTCTGAGGAGTCGGCCCAGAAACCCGAGGCCCCCTCTGCGCCGGCACTCCTCGCAGAGAGTGTGGGGCGTGACAGGAGAGGGGGGCTGGCGGAGGGAGAACCCGTCCTGTAAGCCGGTTCTCATGAACGCATGTGCAGACAGAGCCATTCCATGGGGCGAGCTCCAAACCCCGGGATTGGGCGCCTCTCCCCTGCCCCACAGCCGACCAGCAGGACGGCTGGACTCGGGGGCAGGCTGCTGGCGGTTGGGTGGGGTGGGGCGGGGTGGGGGGCATTCCCCTTGCAAGCCGTCATTGCCACTGGTGCCTGACTGGAGCAGGCTGCGGGGGGTGGCCAGGGTGGGGAGAGCTGCTGGGCAGGATGGTGGGCCCAGGGGCACTCCTGGCCAGGCGCCCCCGGCTGAAGGAAGCGCTTTGCCAGCCGCTGCCCCCACGCTGATCCCGGAGCCTGAACGATGCCGCCTGGGGGGCTGAGGGCCCGGGAACTGGCCCAGCCTGGGAGGGGGAGTCCAGCACGCCAGTGGCTGAAGGCGGCTGGGACTGGCACAATTTTGACAGCCACACTTTGGTTTGTGCTTCTGGAGCAGCCGATACGAACCTCGTGCCAATGCAGCCAGGACAAACTTGCGAAGTGTCTGCCTTCTCCCAGGCGCCAGCCCAGGGGCTGCCCCGACAGGTGAGCCCCAGGCGCGGTACAGGGACAGGCCATGCTGGGGGCCAGCGGCACACGCCGGGAGAGCGCGCACGGGCACGCAACAGGACGCTGCCGGGAGCGTGCGCACCACCTCCCGTGCAGCGCACCATGGCAGACCAGTTTCCCGTGGAATGCATTTAATGATAGAGCTGGACTGTCTGGAAACGTCCCTCCCGTCAGCCGGCCTGGGGTTCCTCGAACGGAGCCTTTTTTGTTCTGCGCTACCCTCGGTCCCCGGCCACAAGCGCTTGCTGCTTGTCAAGCGCGGCTGCAGGCGAAGCTCTGCCCGGCACTGGGCCTCCTTCAGACCCCTCAGGCCACAGCGACTGCCGGTGCGAACCCCGCTGCCCTGCCAGGAATCGGCAGCCAGGGCTAACCCCCCCACCCCCGCTTTCGCTCATTCCTCCTGGACAAGACAGAAGGATCCTGGTGAGCCGAGATGTCTGGAATAGATCGCCCTGGAAAAAAACAGTCTCTCCCGCCCCGGCTTATACTGGGTCAGCGTGTTTGTTTATGCATGGATTCCAGGGTCCTGCCTGGGAGGAGGGTGGTGCGCATGGCAGAAAGTCTCAGCGGCTCCGTGGGCTGGCCAGCCGCTCGCTTGCCTTCCCAGGGCAGGGGCATCCGGCGCAGCAGCCAGACTGCCCTGGAGACCAAGGCGTGGAAGAGGCTGCAAATTCCTTTCCGCCAAACCGAAAGCGGCTCCTGGGCATTTGCCCGTTTGCCGAAGAGGCCCAGAAAGTTAGGCCGGGCTCTCCAAGTACAGGCGAGCATTCGCGTCATTCGGGCAGGCGGGCCCGCCTCGCAATGGCCGTGCACCCCGGCTGCGTTCCTGTTGCCCAGGCCGAGTGGCTGCGGGTCCAGGGAGTGGCTGCACCGCTTCCGAGCAGGGCTGAGCTGCAAGCGCCACTGCCCTGGGGCTCCTCTGAGGCTGCGCGGCGCACTGTGCCAGGGACCCCTGTGGCAGGAGGCCACAAACGCGCATGTTTAGTCTGTGCATGACGGTGCTGCTCCGTTTGTTTATCGTTGGCCCCAGGGCTCACGGGAGGGTGGAACGGTTTCTCTGCCCACTGTCTGCCCTCTGATCTGTTTTCCCGAAGATGCTTCCCATGCCTGCGGGCAGCCACCTCGAAACCTGCTCACAGGGGTGCTCGGCAGAACGGCCGCGACGGCACGAACCGTCTACCTCTGCAGAGCAGCCGGGCACAGGAAAACAATTGTTGGTGGGACCTGAGCAGCGCAGATGCCGGCGAGCACCCGGAAAACAGCGGTGGGTGAGAGTCTCGGCTCGTTTGCAGAAGGAATTACAGAGATTAAGGATTTGCAGAAAGCATTTGGGATGGCACACGCCAGTGCGGGAGAAGTGGCCCCCGCAGGCTGAGAACTCTGACTGCTGCACCCTGGAAGGTCCAGGCTAGAACTCTTGGATACGCGGCCCATTCATGCCGATCGGGCTTGCCACCTCTTTTTTCTGATGGGCTCCTCCGTCGTGCTTCCGGCAAGCTCTGTCCACGGCAGGCGGGCACAGCGTGGCCTTCGCTGCTCTGCCGGAACAGCCGCCATCCAGTCCCCAGCAGTGGCCCCTGCAAAGCGTCCCCGAACCTGGTGCCAGCGCGACAGCCCCTCGTGCCTTCTTGGAGAGAGGAGGAAGGGGCACCCCCACGGGGCCGGGAGGCGGGCTTGCGGGCAGCGGTCTGCGCGTCGCGGCACGCCTCCCCAGGCCTGCCAGGAGGTGCCAGAACAGGGCCAGGCCAGCGGGCCTCGCCCACCGAGGGGCCACGGGCAGCGCCACGCTCCTGCGAAGGAGAGACTGAGGCCAGGAGAAGAGCTGCCCTTCCTCCCCCACCTGCCTGCGTGTGCATCCAGGGCTGGCAGCAGTGTGCAGATCGGCTGCCTGAAAAGCGGGCTGAGCTCCAGGGCTGCGGGGAGAGCCAGCACGCCCCTTCGAGGCAGAGGGGCACAGAAGCGAAGCCAGTCAGGAGGGGGCTCCAGGCCATCTAGCCTGACCCCCAGCTCCAGCCGGCTCCGCTCATGCGATCCCCAACACGTGCTTGGCCAGGCCTTGGCTGCCGTGACCCCGCCAGGTGGGCTTCAAGGAGGCGCCCTGCCCTGGGGCAATGGGAGAAAACCTGCAGGAAGCAGAACTGCAGAAGAGGGGAGGGGAGGGGAGGGGAGGGGAAAGGGGAAGGGGCTGGCAAGGAAGAGGCCAGCCCAGGAAGGCAATGGCTGCAGGGGCAGTCTATTCCCCCAGCCCACCTGTCTGAGCAACTGAATCGAGAACTGAGCATCGCGGTCGTGCCTTTCGCATCCTCCCTCCCGGCACTCTTACGCTGGTGTCATTTTGTATCACAAGCCTGGGGGGGGGGGTGAGAACAGTACCAGCAATGCTTGCAAACTGCAGGTGCCT